CGTAGTCGGCATCGTCAGTGAGTCTCACTATTCGAATCACCATATTACAACACGTCCAAGAGACTTGTCTCTGGTGCTATGAATGGCGAGAGTCTCTGACGATGCCGGCTCTCTAGAAATGATGATGCATAATATGGACTCCGGATTAGGCAAATCTTCATAACAATATGACCGAGTTGCGGAAACAAAGTCAGACAACTTGTATACAACGAAAGGAGACTGCGACCACATGAAAGGCTACCATATCCTACTTTGCTTTGTCACTTCGCGTATCGTGGCGACGATACCACTCGACTACACATCGATCTGTACCATTAGTTCGGAGGGAAAATCACATTTTTATGTGATGGTCAATCTACTGCGTTCGATTGAAGATATGAAGACCAAGATGGTCGCAGTCTCCTTTCGATTTGTACAAGCGGGTCGCAACTTGGTCTTGTTGTCAGAGCGACCTAGTAGAACGCACCGAGTCGTCTGGATTCCCATTAACTGACAGTGGACTTGATGCATTCTCAAACGTTTCTCCGGCATCGTAGTCGGCATCATCAGTGAGCCTTGCCATTCTCCTCACCAAGATTCGAACTCGTCTTTCTGTCCTTCACTTGTCTCTTTGACTAGTTCGTCGCTTGGTGCGACGAACGGCAAAGCTCACTGACTACGTTTCAGACGAAACCTTTGAGAATGTATCAAGTCCACTGTCACTTGGTGGGAATCCAGACGACTTCAGACTCGGTGCGTTCTGCATAGTCTCCCGAAGCACAAGACCAAGTTGCGACAACGAGGTCAACCCACTTCTACGGCGTTCGGTTTGTGCCACTCGGTTGTCAGCGGGTCAGTGAGTGCATTCACCCTATTTCTTTTAAGGTGATGAAGGAGTGGTAGTTCGTTTTTCTCAATTATATGACTAGAGCTGACGCTTCCATTGAATTTCACATAACCTCGCTTTCCAAAAGTGGGATTCGAACCGTTACAGTTCAGCGTGTATGCTCGTCACGTTGACCGCATTATGGCAAATATACATTTGCTTCATCGAGAATCCCAAAACAGAGTGTGATATGTAAAATGCCTGGCATTCCTCAAAACTCACATCTGCCTTCTACTGTGAGGTGTACTGCGGTCGCAGCTGATGTCCAGGCTGCTCCAGCTGTGCTCCAGGTCCCCTCAAGACGTCATCCTTCCGCAAAGTGCACGGGTATCATCGTCTGGTATGAATGTTCCCCAAATACACTTCTCTCGAGCACTGTTAGAAGCCGTCTGCATCCTCTACTGCTGGCGGCTCCGTGTCTGTATGTGTTACCACCACGATTGTACTTCTCGAATCTTTCAGGTTGACAGGACTGTCGAAAAAGCCCAGGCCTACTCCCTCTGCCAAAGTAGCCATTTTAAATACATACCACAAACGTATTCCCATCTTCAGCTTTAGCACTGAGTCATAACTCATCGGAGAGACTAATTTTCACATCAACCGTTGATTAATCTCTCCCACCACTCATCTAATCTTTACCTCAATCCTAAATCAGAAGGACAGATCAGCTTGGCCTTGATGTTTTCACATATCTGTTTTTCGTTTTGCCACATTTCTCCTGAGAATTTACATAGTTCTCGCATGTAGAAGTAGTTCGGTCAAATTACCACACTAGAGATGGGATTCATTGGGGTCGCA